TTATTGAAACTGTCCTACCAATTTGGTTTGAAACTGTCTCATTGCTATTTGTTTCTCAATAAAATTATGGAAAAAAATAATATATGCACATACACCAACATATAGTGAAAAAGAAGAAAGACTCATAATTAAGGTCCTCATTCTGATAACTGGAGATGTGGCCATCACTGTGCCTGCCCCATGCTGTGCTTCCCCTTCACTCTCAGCAGGCACTTAGCTATTCACAGCTCTTCGCCTCGTGGCATAACCAAATCTTCATTCCTGAAGTGCACGGCCATCCACACCCTGCTTGGATTGGGCTGCTCTAGTTTTCTGTTGATCTTAATCACACAGGAAAGCACTAACAAACACCCTAATGAATCAACTTTCTATTATACATAAAAATCTCTGACAATCAGGTCTGTTCTTATAAAAAAAAAAGTTCTTTAGGCTCACATTTTTAGAGATTTGAGCCCAAGTTCAGTGGCCTGTAGTTTGGTGCCTCTAGCGAGACAATACATTATGGTGATAAAGTGTAGCAGAGGAAGCCACTCCCCTTGTAGTGGTTGGGAAATAAAGAGAAAGGAGTCGGGACAGTGTCCCAATATCTTCTCCAGGAACTCCATCCAGGTGAACTTCAGGCTCTCCCCCACCCCCTTTAAGGTTCCACAGTATTCCCATAGTGCCATGAGCTGAGGCAAAGTCTTAACTCATGGGCCTTTGGGGATCCTCCTCCAAATATAGCACAGAGACAGTTCTAGTAACTTCCATTTGGCCTTTTCTACCATAACCCCCATCGGTTCACAGGTCAGGAAAATTCTTTGAGCTGTTAAGCAACATCTATTCTAATTATACAGTCTAGAATTGGAGAAATAAACACAGGATGTTTGGGGGGACTTGCTAAGCCTGCTGAAAAATAGATGAGCTAAAATTCCATTGATCACTTAACTGCAGTAAACCCCTAATCTGACTCATAAATCACAGTGATAGCTTGAGTCTCCTTAGATGAGTGTCAGTTCAGACTCAAGGCCCAGCTCTTTTTTTTAAGTCTAATTTATTTCCTTTCTCCAGTGTAAAGTTGTCCTGGTAAAAGACTACAGTCACTTGGGGGAAGGCTAGGAGAAAGAATAACTGTATACAGTAGTTGTCCCTCCATATCTGTAGGTTCCACATCCAAGGATTCAATTAACACAAGAGCTATTACATGACAAAAAACTTGAATGTGTATTAAACATGTACAGACCTTCTTCATCATAACTCCCTAAAAAAAAAACCCTCATGATCAATGAGTCAAATCACACCAGAACCAAAATCTGTGGGTTCGTCAGAGAAAGAGAATCAATAGTATGCATGTAGAGAGATTCATTATAAAGAATTGGCTTAAAATTATGGAGAGTGGTAACTTCCAAGATCTACACCCAGGACAGTGACGGTGTACTTAAGTCCAGAATGCCAGGAGTCTTGAGAACTTGAAATGGCTGATGTTTCAGTTTGATTCTGAGGGTAGAAACTAACCAATTTTGCACACTGAGAGTAGTGAAGCAGGGGGATCCCTCTTACTCAGGAGAATTACACTTCTTGTTCTATTTAATTATGTTGACTTTTAATATGTTGCCTAGGGCCCACTAATATTAGGGATATCATCTTTCTTTACTTAGTCTATAATTCAACTGGTTTTTGCTTCTTCTACTCTGACAGACAGATCCAGAAGAGTGTCTGAACAGATGCCTGGGTATTCGATGGCCCAATCATACTGACACATAAAATTAATAATCATAGATATAAATTAGTTTTTAGTCTTAAGTAGTGCAGTGATTCACTTTTATGAGAAACCGACATTCAAAATCACAAAAACTAATATTATTTACTAATATTACTTTTTATTAATCACATACTACATATAATATTTTAAATATAAAATATTTTTAATTCCACATAATAAATCATTACAAACTCTCAAGGTAAAGAAATGTACCTTATAGACATTTTAAAGCATTTTAAATATGAAAAAAATCTGTTTTCATACGTATATGTATTTTGAGTGATCCAAAGACATTATCTTACAAAGTTTTTTAAATTGAGCAAAAATCACTGTTTTGTATAACTGATCTGTGAAAAACTGTTTTCTTTAAAATAATGGAATTTAGGGCCGGCCAAATAGCTCAGCAGATTAAACTGCCTGCAAGCAGGCTCAGGAGCCAGGGATTCAATCCCTGGGCCTACCAGCCCCACCCCCAGGGCATGCTGAGACTGCAATTGAGACTGGGCGTGGTGGTGTGCGCCTGCAATCCCAGCTCTTCAGAGGCTGTAAACAGGCAGATCATTATGAGTCTGATCTAGCAGCGAGACCTTGAACACCCTGTAGAACCTTCTCTAAAATACAAATAATAAAATAAA